AATAACTAGGCTACAAATGATTTTAGAATAATTGCACGTTTACATCGATAAAATGGCCAAAAATGAACACTATAAGCATTTATAACAGCTTTTGTGTAGAAATAATTCTGTCGCAAGCCTTTTGATCTATATAATCGGTTGATTACTATATCTCTGACCACTATAAGCGGATTCCACTGAACAACCAAGATTCCAACCCAGGCTCCCATGTTTATTTGCCCATATTTTCAGATATATTTATCCTTTTTATTCATATGATGAAAAAGTTTGGAAAGTAAGTCAAAACACTAAACCAAAAGGTCTCTTGAGATAAAAAAAACAAACAAAAACTTGATCTCCAGGGGGTGGCTAGAAGAGACAGTAGTGCTCTATAGTATATACAAGTCAAGAACTTTTCTATCATGTTAAGTTCATTTCTAGAACCTTGTAAACCCGAAAGTATTATCTGAGTAACAATTTAGAGGATATGTGAATATTGAAAAGAAAGAAAGTACCTTTACTAATCACATATTTTAAACATTTCTAATAACAGCCAATGAGAAGTTACAGTACAACATAAGTAAATTACATATTCCTTAATTTCACACAATTTTCCATCTTTTGTTTTCTATCCTGTGATAGTGTTACAAAGATTGAAATGAAATGAAAGTTTGATTTATGCTAGAAATATCTTTGATGAAACAAACTGCAGCTGTGTTAAGAAGCTAATATGACTGTAGGAAAAATTGCATGGCTGTCAGGGGTTTCAAAGAGATTACTGCACCGTCAAAATGGAAGGCATTCCACATACTGACATCTGCTTCTTCTAATTACTAAAAAAGCCACTACAAGAGTGATGAAAGACTTCACGCCTTTGTCAGCATATTCACATAAGAAGAATTGGTAGAAACGTGTATTTTTTCCTACCCAAAAATATTATTTCATGAACAAACAGATGTGCTATATTTTACTACATATATTATTCTTAAAAACACAGAAATAAGACTAAAAGGATATGAGGGACACGTATTACTATCAAGAAAAAGAGGAGTTCAGAATAAAGTAAGCTATGGTCCAAAGAACCAGATACTGTCATGAACCGAAGACAGATGGACCCAGTATTCAAGGAGAGACAGTCAGTAGGAAAGTTCAAAAATGTATTAAATAAAACAAAAACTAAAGTGGAGCTGTTGCCCGCGGACACTGCAGGAGGGGGGCGGGGCACCGCCCAATCACAGAACTCTGCAGGAGAAACACAGGTAAGTGACCATGATCATCTGACAGAAGATGATTATCTGAGTTGGCCACTTACCTGGTTTAACAGTCCAGTCCTAGAATGTCCCCAAGTGCTGCAATCCCAGAGGACATGCTGGGAGCCCATCCTGGTCAGGAATCCAGAACAGACAGGAACAGGATCCAGATCAGGCAGGAGCACAAACAGGTGGCAGGATCCAGACTTCCAGGCATTCACAGGCTCCCAGGAGGGTTCAGAGTCTGACAGGGTCCGAAAGCATGACTACCTGGTCAGAGAAGAGGGTAGCCGAGACAGGACATGGAACCAGAACTTGATGCAGGACTTTAAACTGGTCTCCTCCCTGGAGCCAGGCTTACTGAGATAAAAACTGAACCTCCCGACATATAGAGCCAAAAAACCCAGAGGACTCCGCGGGGGAGAAACAGTGGACAATCAGGAGACGAGACAAACAAAAACCCTCTTTCCACTGGCCGCCAGGATCCAGGACATGAACCATGAAATAAAACTGAACAGACAGACTGACAGAAAACAAATCATTTACTGGCACTGAATGCTCAGGCTGAACTGAATATAACCAAGAGGAAACAGGTGAGAGGAATAAATTATAATTGAGGCAGGGAGGGAAAACGACAGGTGAAAGGGATTACTAATTAAGGAGGAGCAAACAAGCTAGATCATGACAGATACTTGCTCACAAAGTGACAAAAGATTAAATGTTTATGTTTAAAATGATTCAAAACCCATATTGGCCATCATTTTCCTATTTCTACCATTTTGTGGCATCAACAGCACTCATACAGATAAGCTGTAGCCATATGATTTAGGTAAGTGGCTTTCACAGCAAAATTTCAGATCTCAGTTGATAAAATCTTAGCACAACTTGGTAACTGGATATTAACATTTTTAATATTCTGCTCTGTGATTGAAGACAGAGCTTAGGCTTATCCATTATTCCAGGCTTGATAGGCCTGGCTCTTGCCATATGTAGGCTGAATGTGCTGCATACTGCAACAAAAGGAACCCCAAATAACCTTAACCAGTAAAGGTAAAACCAGCATCTTGTTTCAATTCTAAATCGTAACACACACACAAAAATTCACCTTGAGCATCTAAACACATGAAGCGATGCATTTCTCTCAGTCAACAAAAGCTGCAGCATAGAATAAATATTAGGATAAAGACAACAAGAAGTTTTGCTCAAAGTTTCTAGTTCTAATATGACCTTTTAGCGACAGTTTACTTTTACATACTATGTTGCAAATACAAAAATGTCTTTTAATAACAAAGTGTTTAATGACAAGTACAATCTAAACCAACGTTGGCAGATTAAGGCGTATTTTTTAATGTGGTTGGTTATTAACTGTAATACCAGAGAAAAAGGTAAGGCTAAAAAGTAGAGAAACAACTCAACATAAATATATTGTTAAAAAGCTGATGAATCAAATTTAGTATAAAAGAAATGTTTCAATTATGAATGGAGAAGGGTCAGTTGATCCTGCTCTATCCAAATAGTTGTCCTATATGTTTGATCATACAGGTTCGTAAGTAGTTAGAAAAAAGGGAACATAAATTAAAATATGAACTGCACCATGTCCAACAGTTTTTCTACACTTATCAATTCTTATACAGCCTTCTACCAGGAGTAACCAGAAGGGGCACTGTATTCCTCTCAATAGATTTCTTTCAATCAATCATTGTATACTGTATGTTCTGTAGAGGTCTGTCTTGTGGCGTATCTTGAGAAGCCTTCCTTGCTTTGTCTTTGGGGCGTACTCCGTGCTGCACCTTTTCTCTGAGAAAGGAGCTGAGCACCACTTTCTCTAGCTGTGCCTAATGAAGCTCATCAGCCGGAGCTTAGGAGGAGCTGGTTGCTGGTCATGGAACACCTAAATGTCAAACTATCTAGTCTCAATGCCTTTCGGTATGACTGAAAGTGTTTTTCATAGTTCATTGATCTCAAGCTAACAAGACAAGAGAGTTCATGNTCCCAGCAGTAAAGAACCCTCTGTCCTTCTCTGGTAGATGGCTGACCAGCAGGCGGCCATGTTTGGAGAGTGCTGCTTCGATGTGGGCGACGTTAAGATCACCATGGGAACCGGCACCTTCATGGACATCAACACTGGGAGCAAACCGCACACGTCTGTAGCAGGTAGGAGCAGCCGCCGCGTTTTTGTTAAATCCAGACTGAAGAATCCGACTCATCCGGCCTCCGGCTCCTCCGGCTGCAGGTCTGTACCCGCTGGTGGGTTGGAAGATCGACTCGGACGTGGTGTACCTGGCGGAGGGGAACGCGGCAGACACGGGAACAGCCATCAAATGGGCCCAGGAGCTCGGTGAGACGCCCGAACAGAACTGAACCGGTTCTCTGAGGGTAAAAACGTTCCTCTCCTCACCTGAAACTGTGACTGCTGCAGAGCTCTTCTCAGACGTCAGCCAGACCAGCGACATGGCGTACAGCGTGGACCACTCAGACGGAGTCTGCTTCGTTCCGTCGTTCAGCGGCCTGCAGGTACATTTGCTCATTTATTCCCCTCTAATCAATAATCCATAAGTTCCTCTCTCCTGTGGAAGCAGACGGACTGTGGAAATAGTTCCTATTTAATCTCATCTGCTTTCCTTTTCTTTTTTTTCACTGCCCTCCTCTGGGATCTAGCGGTTGTAAGTCTATTTTTCTGGATGTTGATGTTTTAGTTCTTTTATTTATCTGTTTTTTTTAACCTTTATTACACCAAGTAGATCCGTTTTAATACGATTCTAATCAAGGCGACACAGGAGGCAGATGCAAATGATCAGATGAGTGAATTAGGAATGGCGATAAGCGGTTAAAGGCAGGTGTGAATGTTTGTGCTGTTAGTCGTCCCTGAAGGAGACGAGTGGAGTGAGTTTTAGGGATTGTTGGTAGAGGAGTCCTTTCCTCTGCAGAGCTGAAGAGAACCGACGCAGGTTTGGGCTCAGAGGGCGACTGGTGTGTGAGCTGCAGAGGTATGGAGCTAAATATGTACCAATATAATGCAAAGCAAAAAACACTTGATGAAAACGATGGAACTTTATAAAACTTCCTCGTCAAGAACAATATATTTTTGGAATAATTTGGCCAGAATTTTTTTTCAGGTTCGATTTTCCTTTTTCCAGATCGCATTTTTGCTTTTTCTTTCAAATTGAATCATTATTTGTTTTCTCAAATATATATATTTGTATTTTTCCAGATATTTTTTTTCTGATTTATATTTACAAATGTCATTGAGGTAGTTCTGTCAGAGCAGCGTACCCGGTCAATACCCGTTTATCCCTTTAGTTATGTACAAAAAAAACTATTTAATTACTTAGTTTTCTGTGTTTTTTGAAGCGTATGGCGATATGAACTGCGACACACGCAGACGACCTGGTTTCTGAGTATAAATCAGCAGAGATGGGAAGTAACGAAGTACAAATACTTTGTTACTGTACTCAAGTAGATTTTTCTGATATTTTTATTTTACTTCACTGTTTATTTTTATGGCGACTTTTTACTTCTACTCCTTATATTTTTACACAAATATCTGTACTTTCTACTCCTTACATTTTTAAAAATTGGCTCGTTACTTTAGTT